ACTCGTACTACCCACTTCCATCCTCTTGTTGTCCTTCCACTTAACCTTTTTCACCCCTGTCGCTTAGGATTTATGTACCGGTATCTATGTATGTTAGTCGGATCTAAGGTGCGTCTAGAGTCGGATAGTGCAACACTTTGTGGATTGATCATCAAACTCTCCTGAAAAGAGTAATTAGGCTTATCTCTTTACTCCCACCAAGAACTCCCACGACAACATTAAAAATTTAACTGTGCAGTATTGGCTTCCTATTGAAGCTATTGATAAATTGTAACTGCTTGATGACCACAAAGTTGTAAAGTTTCTTGAGCCAAATTATCCGGTCATTGTTATGATTACTGACTCAGATATAGCCTGTACAGAGCTGGTAATCCATGTATCCATCTTAAGTCCATAACTATGAATCAATGTTCTTCTTTTGACTGAATGTAGACTTTCAAAAAGCAGATTAAGTCTGTTCATTTTCAAGAGTATAATGGATTAGTTGTGGGTTGGAATTTTTTCGTAAGATGGCAGGTCACTGGGTAAAGAAAACACTTAAATTCACTATGGTAATAATATTTTTAAATAAATTGGGCCAAGTAGTGTAAAAAATAAGGGGTAAAGTAAAGTAATACTATATTGAATATATAAATATTACTAAGCACATTAACTAATTCAGTGGATATTTGCTGCCCCTACTACAAATTTCATAGTATAAACATTCCAAACAATATTGGTATTATTTTGGTTTTGGTCATCTGGGGAACCTTAAGATTCTAACTATGGGATTAAGTACTTTAAACAATAAGGCAAATTATCTCTACGGGATTTCTGTCGCAAAATATTTTTGTATCGCATAACAAAATACGAGTCATAGGTTAGGTTAGGCTAGGCTATATTATAAGTTATAAGATTAGCTTAACATACACCGGTAGGGGGAGGGGGTAGTAACTTAAAACTAGTGATTTCTGATAGATGTAAAGGTCTAAATCGTTCATAACACATCGCAAATCATCAGAAAAAAATCATAGTCTGCCTGTCTAAGTCCAGGGATGACCAAAACTTATAATTTACCCAATATAGTCTATCTCCGATCTAAGCATCCAAATACTTATGGTAGTTAAAGTAAAATTTTACCCATTAATTAATATAAATGATGATACCGGTATATCCCAGTGGTTCATTAGTGAAACATCAAAACAATAACAGCACTATGTTGTCATGTTTACCTGGCATCAGGCATTCTCAAAACAAAGTCCAGACAATGTCATTACTTCTAAATTGACTCGTATCTTCATCTAGTACTGATATACAGTCATGCGCCGGTTAACGTCCGTCATATATTGTCGCCACCCCCTAAAAAAAAATCCGTGACGCTTGCTGGACCACCACTCCACGACCCCCTGACGGAGACACGATGATCCTCCCCATACTGGTCAGATATTATGTGTTAAAGGAATATGCTTCCTTCCTTAGGCTTTTTTTAAGCATTTGCCTCCAGGTGTAATGTTAACCTACATCTATTGAGGATAAAATCTTTCACCTACAAATTGACAATAACACATTTGCTGTAATCAGACATATCTAGTTGCCTCAACAATTGCAACCCCAGTTGCAATTGGGGTTGCAATTTCAAATTCTGTGGCATTACTAAGAATAGTGAAGTCTCTGGTGCACTCTAAGATTAAGAGAGAAAACGGAGGACTCAGGCGTCCTGATGTGAGAGAAAACGGACTCGTATGATGGGGGACCAAATAAAAAAAGCATAGCTACATGTTTTGTGGACTACAGTATTAAGCGTACCCTTTTCATCACTTTGTAATAAACCTAGCCATGCCTATGTGTGTTTATGATATTTACCATAACATTATATATATATTTAGTGGGTCTAAATGGTCGTAAAATGGGAAACTTGGGGTTGGGTCTTGGGTGCCTGGAACCAATTAGAATAAATCCCATAGGTTCTGTACTTTCGTTATCGGCGGGGTCCCAATTAGGCGCGATAACCAAGGGATGACTGTACTGTACTGTATATACTTGTGACACTGGCCAGTTGCTTCTGGTGTTATGGTACAGGGGTACCAAGTGACAGCACTAGGATCCCGCTTCCTCTATCAAGGAATAAACAATTAAAATTTAAATTGAAAAAAAAAAAAAATTCAAATAATGGGACCTAGCGAACCGAAATGTACCTAGAGCGGGCACAGTCACGTATGCATCTCGTATTCTTATAGATTGTGCGGCCAGGCGTACGTTATCTAGTGAATTTAGTCAATATTGTACAGTAACAATGGACCTAAGTGCAAACCTGTATTGTACATGTACTAAATGATTATGGTACTAAAATTGTTATGTCTATGCAAATATAGCTTGTTTATACAGGTATTCAAATAAATTACTATCTTACAAGAATCCCTCCAATGTAAGTTATATTCACCCAGGTCGTTTGGGTGGCAAATTATGAGAAGAGCTTAGTCACTCTTAAGTAATGATAAATAAACACACACACAGGCCTTCAGCGCCAACTGTCAAATCTTATCTCAAATAAATAAACAAACAAACGCCAGACATTCTGTCACCTCACCTCCCCCCCCTCTTCCCACACGCTCCTGGCTACTTCCTTCCTTGTGTTCCCAGACAAAAGATTGGTGATTTCTTTATGTTTATTTTATATAATATCTCAGACTAAAGTTAGGATAATATAATTTGCATTGCTGAAATCCTTGCAAGACAGAGATTAATTTGAATATAAGCATCATATATTTTGCTCAAGATATAAAAAATGTAGTACATTAGTGTACAATACTGTAGTACATTTTATAAAAAGTTTTTCAACTGTATTTTTGGGTAGATTTACATAAATTTCTTCATTTATTTTCATCCATTTACATGCACACACCATACTAAAAGAAACGTAAAAGAAATAAATGACCTTAGTGCAAAGCTGGAGTGCACATGTACTAATTTGATTACGGTACTAAAATTGTTATGTCTAGTGCGAATTACAACATGTTTATATTCAAATAAATCAGTATCTTACAAGAATCCCAGCATGTTAATTATATTCTCCTAGGTCATATCACTGGCATTTTAAAATGAGAGAAGCTTAGTAGGACTGTTAAATAAACACACAGAGACCTTCGGCTCAAACTTATCACCTCAACCCCCCAACCCCTCGCTGACTGCTGGCTCCCTCCGTCCCTCCCTCCCTCCCAGCCAGGGTTTTAGGCTTACAGTTTTTATCTTATATAATATCTCAGACTAAAGTTAGGAGATTATAATTTGCATTGCTGGAATCCTTGCAAGACAGCCAATAATTTGAATATAAACGTCATATATTTTGCTCAAGAGATAAAAATTGTTGTACATTAGTGTACAGTACTGTAGTACATTTTATAAAAAAGTTTTTCAACTGTATTTTTGGGTAGATTTACATAGATTTCTTCATTTATTTTCATCCATTTACATGCACACACCATACTAAAAGAAACATAATAGAAATAAATGACCTTAGTGCAAAGCTGGAGTGCACATGTACTAATTTGATTACGGTACTAAAATTGTTTTGTCTAGTGCAAATTATAGCATGTTTATATTCAAATTAATCAGTATGTTACAAGAATCCCAGCAATGTTAATTATATTCACCCAGGTCATTTCACTGGCTTTTTATAAGAGAGAAGCTTAGTCACTTAAGAACTGATAAGTATACACGCGTTAGACCTGGGCCTGTGCCAACTGTCAAATGTACTACCTCCCCTCCCCCCACGCCCCCTCGCTCGCTCCCACCCTCTCTCTCTCCCCCATCTGCCTGGCGTTGCTGGAATCCTTGTAAAACAGTGAATAATTTTAATATAAACGTCATGTATTTTGCACAAGAGATAAAAATTAATCACCTGTATCACATTACAGTAGTGATTTAAGAGTACAGTAAAAGTGTATATATACGTATATAGTATTCCACATACACGTAAGTATAAATACAAGTTTATGTGATGATCGGACAACGTCCATTTCGGTTAACGTCACGTTTCCAAGAATGTATCTAGGACGATAACCGGCGCATGACTGTATTCTGTAAATGCACTGATAAAAAAGAAGAGAAAGTCTACCAGGTAAGAATACATGACAGCCGAGCTTGTGTGAACATGGGAGTTTTTTATGTCCATAAGAACATAATAATGGAGGAAACTGCAGCGGGCCTATTGGCCCATACTGGGCAGTCCCGTTTACACTCAACCCCTATTGCTCATATATCCACTCAATCTATGTTTGAAGCAGCTCTTCACGGCACATTTCTTCACTTATGGAATGTTCATGACTTAGACCATAAAAAAAAACTTACCTGAACGTGGCATTTGGGGAAATGGGTGACGTCATTGCAAATGGTGGCCTTGTTTCTAGAGAAATAAAATTACCTCAATTATTATAGCAGGACTTTAAACTTCTATTACAAATTATATATATCGCATCACTCTACGAACGTGGCAGAGTGTATTTCTTGTGTTTACCCAGAGCCGTCAACTGGTCCATGGTGATCCTTTTGAGTGTGTGGTAAACAAAGATTGTAGACCCAAGTGACAGTGCTTCATTTGGTTTAATTACTTTTGCTATACCTGTAATGCTTAAGACTTTTATTTATTTTATTTTATTTTTTAAAGAATTTGTGTTTTTAATAAATATAACACCATATATTATATATCTACAGGGAGTTATGAAATATGGATAGACCTTTAAGAGCTGAATATTAGGATTCATGATACTGGTTTTAGAATGACCTGTCACAAGTTGGGGCCATGCTGGTGCTTGGGGTCATGCTGAATTGCTCAACCCTGACCTGGTTTATAAGATATGATTTCAAGATCAGTCCTCCAGTTTTCCTACATACTGTATTGTACTATCCAAACTGTACTTAATATTTGCATGTTATATGGGGACTGCAGTATTTAATTGTATTGTTTGAGTTAGTTGTTTCTTTGTCATTTATGGTGAATATTATCATCTTATTAACCTTTTCAGATTCCTGGTAAGAGTGTCATACTTGGAAATATATAATGAAGAAGTTCGTGACCTTCTCCGACATGATCAGTCGGTGCGGTTGGAGGTGAAAGAGCGACCTGACGTGGGTGTATACGTGAAAGACCTTCTTACCCATGTTGTACACAATGCTGATGAGATGGACAGGATTATGACTTTTGGGAACAAGAATCGTGAGTGATAGTGATTGTTGTATTTTTTGTGTTTTGTTCTGTGTCGTGTTACAGGACATTATATTTCTGGGTTGTCCGCATGTCTTAGGGAAATTAAGTTTGAGTTTATGAAAATGAACTGCGAGGTAGGCAGACGCTTCCCTGCTCTCTGAGATGTTGCTTCCTCATGCTGCTTACATTATTAATATACAATATTCCAAAAATTTTATTTTATCTTGAGACCCTCAAATTGTTGGACAGTGAGGCTGCCTCATAAAGCATCATAAGGTTAAAGGGTTAGACAGTCACCATGTAATTTTTTTTATCATTGTTTCTGTTGCATTATAATTTTCAATGATAATCAAGGAGAAAATATTGAAGAAAATTACTCATTAACGCTTCACCAAAAAGTTGGTTGATTGGACGAATGAAACAAGGTGTTGACAGGACAGCAGTAACATGCATATCTCCCTCCCTAGTGTCCTAGGTTCAGTCCCTGTCCAGGGACAAATGTAAGAAGGGTGGTGACACTACCAAGTGTGCCATGTTTTCCCCAGGTACTGAACTGTACTGTACTACATTTTTCCTTTTGTACTAACACTGGACAGTAAAGGTCATAACAAAGTACCAAAGAACAGACTAACTGCTGGTAAGTGGTTAAATGATATATAAATGGATATAGAGTTAGTAACTCACATGTTTCAGTAGCCATTTATGTTAAAGTAGCCAATGGTTCCCAATTAGTTCTAGCCATTGCCCCAAAACAAGTCTGACAACAGTACTCATTACCCCGACAAAGGTTTGTCGACTGTCGTGACTAGACCTGTCGTGTTCAGTACGTGAAGCAGACGCTGTTTTGCCGTGGGAGAGTGAGGCAAGAGGTACCAACTCTGCCGTGTCCGGAAGGTGTCTGACACGTGAATGTCGAGTGGTTGTGTATGGAATCAAGAAGTAGAAAAAATATGGCTATGTGTGTGAATATCTCATAGGCTGTCGTTACCCCGAAAAATGTCAAATTTCCCCCTTGAAGGGGGTAATGTATCCCTTATTGGGAACTGCCAAGCAAACAGGATATACAGTGTATGGCTGTGAAGGCATTGTCCAGAATATCACTAACTGAGATATGGAAAAGAACAGGTTGTGAGTGTTAACTTTTGAGATATTACTTAACAAACTTATTGCTGAACATGTTAACCCTTATCTGTACCAATACAGTAGGAACTCAAAGTACGCGTATCCAGAGTACGCAGCCCCGTGTATATGTGTCTGACCCCCGAACTGCCCTTATGCGTTGGTCTGGCTCTTGCTCAAGCCAACTCACTAGCTCAGCGTGTTTATCAATTGTCTGTTCTTGTTTGAGAAAACTAAATCTAATCATTACAATACTCTAATGTGGCTTAGAAATATAGAAAATATTATATAAAACTATAAAAAAGAAAAGTGAAGAGCATGTTATGTGTGTGAGGTGAACCATTGTGTGTGGAAGCAGTGAGTTATTTAACTTGCGTAGCCAACTCGCATTTCTACCAGCTCTCCTTCCCTCCCCTCCCCCTGATGTGAGTCAGCTGGGTTGAGCTGAACTATGTCACATCACCCATTAAATGTGAGGAATAAATAAAAATAATGATAATAAATATAATAAAAGAAAAATACTGCATTGCTATTAGGCAATTGTTTCATTACACATGGGACACAGGAGGCAGTGAACAGCTGAGGTTCTCCACTCTGTTCCCCCCCTCCCTTTCCCCCCACCCCAATATGTGTGCTAACTACTGTAATGTGCACTTAAGAAATGATTATTCCCCTTATGTTTTGACCTTATGATGTGAATTACACGAAAGCGCTTGGGAACTTCGTGTTTTCTTTTTCCTTGTGGTTATCAGCATATACCTGGATCACGTGCACCTACAGTGATTTATTTGCATATATATATATATACAGTGGGGTATGCTATAACGAACGTAATTGGTTCCAGAACCTTGTTCTTTATAGGATTAATCCATTCCAGGCCCCCAAATACAACCACTTAACACTGAAAAAATTCTGTGGAAAATGTAAAAGATACGGTACTTTATCTTACCTTAGTGTTGTTCAGCATGCAGGACAGGAGGCAGAGGGGGAGGGGGGAGGAGAGAATTATGGAGAAGAGGTGGAAGGAGAGGAGTCATCCTTCCTAGCCCTCTTTGGTGACTGTCTCACAGGCACTTTGTCTGTAGGTTCTTTTGTTACCTTTGTAAAGAAGGAATCCAGGGTTGGCTGCTTCAACCTTGATTTCTGGACCTTCCAAAAGTAGTTCATAACATTGTCATTAAACACACTGATGGCCTTTTGTACAGAACCAACATCAGGATGATAATCCTCAGCAAGTTTGGACAGTTTGCTCCAGCAAAAGAACGCATCCTTGAGATCTTTGGCTGGAATGATGCGGCTTTCCTCCTTGTCCTCCTCCTCCCCTGACTCCTCAGAAGTTAAGCTCCGCTTCAGTGTCTCATTTTCCTCTGTGAAGCTCGAGCAGCTCCTCAGTGGACAGTTCCTTACTGTGCTCTTCCACCAACTCCTCAACATCATCATCATCCACTTCCAGGCCCATGGAATTGCCCAGAGACACAATTTCATGAACAACAGCCTCTTCTTCTAACTCTTCGAAGCCTTCAAAGTCTCTTTGAAGGACACATTCAGGCCACAATGGCCTCCAAGCAACACAAAGACACCTCACAGTAACTCTTTCCAGGCTGAGGTAATTAAAAAAACAGCGTCTGCTATATTGAAGTGACTCTTCCAAAATTCCTTCAAGCTAACATCACTGGAAGAAGTGGATGCAAAACATTTTCTAAACAGTGCCTTTGTGTACAGCTTCTTAAAGTTAGAAATTACCTGTTGATCCATGGGCTGGATGAGAGGTGTTGTGTTGGGTGGCAAGAAGTGCACAGTGATGAAGTTGAACTCCTCTGGCAATTCAACCATCAAATTAGGAGGGTGGGCTGGTGCATTGTCCATCACCAACAAAGCTTTCAGTGGAAGATTATTCTCCCTGAGGTATTCCCGAACACTGGGTCCAAACACCTCAATCACCCACTCAGAGAATAAATTCCTGGTCACCCAAGCCTTTGGGTTTGACCGCCACATAACACCAAGGCGGGTCTTCCTAATGTTTTTGAAAGCTCTGGGGTTTTCTGCATGGTACACAAAGAGTGGCTTTATTTTGCAGTCACCAGAAGCATTAGCACAAAGAAGGAGGGTAAACCTGTCTTTCATTGGCTTATGGCCAGGGACAGAAGTTTCCTCCTTGGTAATGTATGTACGGCGAGGCATTTTTTTCCAAAAAAGTCCAGTTTCATCACAGTTGAATACCTGTTCCTTAGCTACTTCCTTATCTGCACTAGCAGCATCGCCATGTCTCACAACACTATGTAATTTATTTCTCCTTCTGAAACCAGTAAACCACCCCTTGGTACCCCTAAACACTGGCACATCACTATCACTTCCACTGGGAGTCTTGGCTTTAAGGTCCTCAAACAATTGTCTGGCCTCCTCACAAATTATAGCTTCACTAATGCTATCACCTGCCATTTCTTTCTCCTTTATCCACACTAAGAGTAAATTTTCCATCTCAATCACATTACACCTTGTTTTGCTAAGTCTAGAGATTCCCTTAGCCACTTGCACTGTTTTCAACTCCTCTTTATTCTTTAAAATCGCACATATAGTCGATTTAGCCATCCCATACTCATCACTAAGTTTCGCAATGCTTGTTCCATCCTCACGTTTCTTTATGATTTCTTTCTTAGTTTCAAGAGTTATGAGCTTTCTCACTCGCTTTGGACGATTCATTGTCACAATTGTACTCTTGTATAACAAAATATTTATACAAATAACTCTATTTCCACATCAAAAGACGAAATTTCAACAATAACAGTGGTGCACTGGCTACACAATGAGACAAAGATGGCGCCTGAAGCTCTTGTTGTGGGTCGCGGTACAACAATATTCATGCGCCAGGCGAAATAGTCCCGTATTCATCCGCGTTCGTTGTAGGAGTTGCGTTCGTTATAGCATTCTCAATTTTATAGGTAAAACCGTTCGTTATAGGAATATTCGTAGTAGGATCCGTTCGTTATAGCATACCCCACTGTATATATATACACACACACACACAGTACAGTACAGTACAGTCGGCCCTTAACATACGCGGGGGTTACGTAACAGAGATACCCGTTGATGTTAAAAATCCGCGTATTTTTGCTGCCCCCCCCCCCCAAAACCCCTGGCTCCCCCATGTCCTTATTTACCGTATATACCTGTGTGTAGTTCGAGTTTTTAAGACCAAATTATTTGGCAAAAAATTGGGGGTCGACCTCTAAACGGGTAATAGTTTCGTTAGGTTGAAAAATATTTACCAGTAACTACCAGTAAACAATGGAAACGATGCACCAACGCACCACCAGCTGTGAGTGTCGGTATGGTTGCCAGGGCAAATCTCTTGCCTCATCATAGCAAACCGAAAGTAGCCAAATCCATGGTATGGTAGCACAGGACGATGTAAAACATAAAGTATTCATTTATTAAAGTTTATTTATAGATACTGTACATAAATTTTTGTTCATTACATTTGAAACATCAATCTTTGTTAATTAAATTTGAAACAAAAGATAACTACAATACCGTATTTTCATTAAAATATTACATCACAAGTATATTTTACCTTAACTGACTGAATGAATATACGTATTCTCAGAAATAAATATGGAAATATAATATTTTTGCTGGAATGACGTACATATTACCGTGGAAAGTGGGATAAAATTGTGACGAAAGCAGTGACTTTCGCTTTCTTTCGTTCAAAAGATGTTACCGTAATCGCTTTTCGAATGGTTTTCAGTTAAAAAACTGTTGTACTCGTACTGTATTACAATAATATTCTATCCTATCATTAGCCTTATAATCCCACAACTGAAAACCATTCGAAAAGCGATTACGGTAACATCTTTTGAACGAAAGAAAGCGAAAGTCGTTGCTTTCATCACTTTCCACTGTAATACGTACATCATTTCAGCAAAATATTACTTTTCCATATTCTCAGAAATAAATAGTAGTTTTGCTGAAACGTAATGCATTTCAATGTAAATTAGGATAAACTACATGAAAACAAAAGACTTTACCTAACTTTCCGATGTTCAAGATATGTTACTCGTTTTTTTTAGTAGTTTTCGGTTAAAATACTCTTATATTAGTGATATTCTATTCATACTGTGCTTGATATAATACATTCACGGAAATGTAATATTTTTGCAACTACAATGCTGATGTCAACACAAGCGTGGTTACAGCGAGACTGACTGAGTGAGGGAGAGCTATGCGTGTGTGTGTGTGAGGTTGCGGGAGCGGGTGGTGTCCCGCGTTCGGTGCCGCATGCGAGTTGAATGGCGCGCGATTTGAATGTACTTCAATTTCTTCAATGTACAGAATATTCCTCCAGCGGGGCAATCCGCGTATTTGCAAATCCGTGTATGTTAAGGGCCGACTGTATATGTATATATTTTTTTTTTTCACATTCTGTATGAAAGATTGTGTGTGTGCATGTAACAGAGTAAAAAAGGGGGGGTGGGAAGAAAATTATGCATCTCTACCCGAAATTACGAGTTGAAAAATAACCATAAGATAACTCTGGCGTCCTCTCTTCTGCACTGGTTCTGTGAACATCTCCCAGGCGTTCTTTGGGGTAAAATTTTTCTCTACTGGTGAAATTTGCCACAATCTTGGCCCCTAAGAGGAAAATTAGTGGCATTGCTCTTGGTGGTGAGAGTGAGAAAAAATATAAAAGTGGATACTGTAAGAACTTTGGATGAAAAGGTCAGGATCTTGTACTTAATAAAGAAGTGGTGTATCGAGCTCTGAAGTTGTGTCGGTTACTGTAGTATAAAAGGGGTTTTAAGTACGTACTGTACAGGTATATACATTCCACACTTACACGGGATCCCAGGATCATAATCATTGTGTACTCTGAACCCACTGACAGAAATTTCTAATTTGTCTGCAATTTGTAAAATTTTAAGTCAAATCTGTTTGAATTTTTTCACTAGTTTATAGTAATACCAAGGTTTAATTATCATATTATCTTGACACATACACAAATTCTAATACTGTACTAACTTCAAAGTTTATTTTGAAAAAAAAAAATCATATGTATTGTGTGTAGAATCAGAGTTTAGTTCGATCACCTACATTATGGAAATAATACAAACAACATATACAGGTCTACATTATGTCTTGTACATTCATGCAGTATGATCACACTACCGGGATCACACTACAACCTAAGAAAAAGTTCAGGTCTGGCTCAGGTTGAGCTAAATGATTCATAATTTTTGTAATTTTTGTCTTGTGAATAATACGAGACAAGTTACAACCTAGACGGCCAGCCACCATATGCTTACAGTATTATGGTTTGTTTAAATATCTGAGTGATGTTCAAAGTGAAAACAATGATGAAAATTACGCAGAAATTAAAAAGAATAAATGGATAGAATGACGGTGACAACACTGATGAGGAACAATAATTCTGGAAACAATGCACACTTCTTATGTCAGTGCCTGCCTGCCTGCCCAGAAATTTTGTTTTCTTGGTCATTGTGTCTTCCTGTAATTAAATTTAAATCTAGGCCAGCTATATTTATTTCAGAGTCAATACATAACAGTCAGTAATAAAATAGTGCATCTCTCTGAATTCAATGTAATCATCCAAAACAATGAAAAATTATATTGTATCATCTTCTAAAGTTGTTTATATTTTTCTCTCAGATTTGTCTGCGAGTAGAGCTCAGATCGCAGGCATTTCTGTCAGTGGGACTCTGAGACCATACTGTACCATATACTGTTGCCTCACCTATGGGAAGTCTTAGTTTTTCCCCAAATTTACAGCAATAATATCTGCTTTTATCATTATGATTCATAAAAAGCCAGAATTCCTAAATTAACTCGCCTCCTCCCCCCGAGCCCAGTGGACACTCGGTTCAAAGGTATTAATTGGCCAACTAAGGTCGTGTTTGGTTCAATATTGTTCATTTAGGTTAAGCTTAGTTTCAGTAATTGTTTTATTTTTATAAATATTTAGTTATTATTTTATTAAATTTAAACACTTAGATTATGTTATGCTCACAGTTAAGTGTAATTATTTAAAAAGAGTCTGTACAGGTCACTCAAAATAATTATATAATTCACAACTTTGCAGGAGCTGTCGGGGCAACAAACATGAATACTCACAGTTCGCGGTCACATGCCATTTTCACCATCACAATAGAATGTGCTGAGAGGGGACTAGATGGTCAACAACACTGGCGAGTGGGGAAGCTCCATTTGGTAGATCTGGCGGTGAGTCTTGAATTTTTTTGTTTTGTTTTTACTTTTCTGTACATTTATCTATACAAATACAATATAATGGATTTAGAAACTTAAAAAAAATAAAAAATAAGATCTATGTCCAAAGATGTTACAGAGGGTGTGGTGCTATTAGCTGTGAGGACAGGCAGCTGGTAGCCCCCATCTTGTGTATTTTTGTTACAAAGAAGAAACAAAGGTGAAAAAGTCTGGTGTTTTGAATGTATGTAATGAAGATGAGAAGAAAATGATGACTGAAGCTTTGGTAAATGATAAGAATTGGATGTCATAGCTTTGATCAAAACAGAGAAGTGTGTGAACACATGTGAAGTTTTAAGTTAGGAGTATCAACAAATGATAATAGCTGATCTGTTATTTTTCAAAGAATTATTATTATTATTATTATTATTTTTTTTTTTAAGAATAAAACTGCATTATGTACTGTGTAGATAAATTGTGCAAGATGCAAGAGGTTGAGGTAGACTGTGAAACATCTGGTATGAAATTGCCTCTAGACCAAAACTAAGGAAGATGTAAGCAAGGTTAGGGGTGGTAAGGCACCAGGAGTAGATGAAACTGTTGTATAAATGTTGAGGAAAGAGATGAAAAAGTGATAGTGTATGGAACAAAGTAACAAGGGAATGGTAGGAGCATATACAGTTCCCCAACATAAAGGGAAGCTGATAAGAAGGAATTTAGGAATTAAATAGATAAATAAGTTTGTTAACCATACTAATGAGTGTTTTGAGAGGAGGGTATTGTTTCCCCATTAGTGACAGTGCAGATACAGCACACTGTAAACTAAACCTTTTTTTGGTACACACGGAGGCAGCCTGGCCAGCATGCACTCAGCCGCCACACCCTAAAAAGTATTAGGGGAAAGGAAAAAGTCTCATTGTGGCATTTATGGGTCAAGGAAAATTATGTGAGGGAGTTGAAAGAAAACTAATGTGGAAAGTATGGGTGAAACCTGTTCTGAGTGTTAGTAAACATAGTGAATTAATTATTTATTAAAGTGAGATTGTCAAAGTTATGTAATATTTCCTTGACTATTTCTTGTTTTCATGGATACAGCAGTAAGATAAAACTAGCACGAGGGAGAGGGCAGCTGGTTTGAGTCATAGGCATATGGAGTGCAAATTGGAAGGGAGTCAGCTATTGTTTGTAAATGACACTGTACTGGTGGGTAGTATAGAAGGAGAGTTGCTAATGTTAATGATTGAACTTTTGAAGACAAGAAAGTAAAGTGATGAAAAGAAGTTGAGAAAAGTAGGCAGGGAGAAATGAACATAAACTTGAGTGGAAATATTATGAAGGAAGAGTAAGGTTGATGTGTCCTGTTCATGTTTGGAGACAATCTGTTATGTTAATATTGATGCTGGAAGCTAACATAGATCTTGTTCTTGTGTGTCCTTTAAAATGTAAAGTGAATAATATATGTATCCCATGTTCTTAGGGCTCAGAGCGGCAGAGTAAAACAGGAGCAACTGGTCAGAGGTTGAAAGAAGCCAGCAAGATAAACCTGTCCCTCTCAACCCTTGGAAATGTTATATCAGCACTTGTGGATGGAAGGTCAACTCACATTCCTTATCGTAACTCCAAACTGACCAGACTTCTCCAGGATTCATTAGGTGGCAACTCAAAAACAGTAATGGTAAGGAGGGAGTTTACATTGTGTCTTCTATATTTCTCTTTATTCTCTCTCTCCCCACTCAAGTTCTTACTGACTGTTTTTTGCATTTTTCTCTCATGTTTCCTAGTACAGTAATCTTGGGTTCTCTGGCTCTGATGTGGCCACTTTTATCGTGACACTCTAGGGATCTGGCTGCTGCTTATATTGAACTCGGTCGACCCAAATGCACGTGAGGGGCTTATTTCTCGACCCAAGCACACGTGAGGGGCTTATTTCTCGACCCAAGCACACGTGAGGGGCTTATTTTTCGACCCAAGCACACGTGAGGGGCTTATTTCTCGATCCAAACACATGGGAGGAGCTTATTTCTCAACCCAAACACACATGAGGTACTTATTTCTCTACCCAATATACGTCCACTCGTGGCATCACCCTTAGGATGGTTCAAGGGCTGAGGTAGCTATTTTTTCTACATAAAATATGTGCTAATGTATTTTATGATGTGTTATGTATTATTTTCATTGTTTATTATAGCAATTTTTGCTCATTTTTGGCATATGTAAAATACAGAGTAATGGAGGATTGGAACCTATTCCATTTTATTCATTGTTAAATCTACCTATGACAGTGAAGTTCCCTGATGGAATTGGATTTTGTAAATATATGCACTTCATTGCCAGAGGTATGCTGTACACATCCACATCATTTTCATCTCACACTGCACAAGGCCATCCATGCCACATGCATATGTACGTCAGGACTCAGGAACTTTCTAAAACCTTCTTTGTGGCTCTGAAAGCATCTAGAATTTAAAACATTACCTACATCTATTAACACCTTAAATAAAAAACAACTGAATTTCTTGAAACTATATCATAAGTATAATTATTTTACTTGAAGTACAATGATTTATTATGAGCTTAATTAAGCCAGTCTGTGTTGGCGTAATATTATGGATGTCCCAATAACGGATTCCGCCTGATTAACGACGCTGCTGTGGCTTAATTAGTCTGACATACAGGGTTTCTATGTACTCTGTAGGATATCTTTTGCCCGAAGAGTTAGACAGCAACTTTTGAACTTGGTGTTTGCTTGTATTTCAGTGTGCTAATGTTGGACCAGCAAATTATAATTATGACGAGACAATCAGCACTCTCCGCTATGCCAATCGTGCCAAAAACATCTGCAATAAAGCCAAGATTAATGAAGACCCTAAAGATGCTCTTCTTCGTAAACTTCAAGATGAGATCAAGTCTTTGAGAAACCAGCTGGATGGTAAGTATAAAAATAAGCCTTACAATTCTTTCATTAATCACTACAAAGTATATGAAGTTTTTGCTCTCTATTGTTGTACATCTTTTAGTGGCTGAGTTGATACAGTGCTTGTCTCCTGTCCTTTGGGTTGCAGGTTCACATCCAAGGCACCACCAGTTTGCCTATCTATGAATGGGTTCCTAGCTTTATGTTTGGTGAAAGTGAAGGCAGTCAAGAGCATTGTCATTCATGATGCTATCTTGCGTACTGAACATTACCGCTGCTCTTCTCACCAAATGCTTCTCTTAATGATTTTAATTTGCCAAAGATTGTCTGTCCATTGAACTATGCAATGCTTAAATCTAAATCACTCCTCAAATCCTTAAATGCTGCTGGTGTCTTGTTAGTTGCTGTGGTACAAGTTTTACCACAATGGTATGACCTCCTGATGAACCTGCCATGATAAGTAACACTGTTCAGGTGGATCACAATAAGTGGTGTTCACAGTCCCTGACTCAGTGAACCAGTGTTGAAGCACCAAACACCAGGGACAGTAGTTTCTCCAGAAGGTAATGAGTGAAGCTTCAAGATCACCAAGTTGAAGTTATGAGATACAGTAGACTCTTTGTTATACAAGTGTCTAATGCTGGTATTCTTAAAATATTCTTTAGCAAAATTTCTTTACAATTAGGAGGCTCCGACATACCAACTGTAGATACACTGCTACTTGTGGAGGGACAAGGCAAAGAATTTTATATGCATAAAGGAGTTAAAAAAAAAACCCTTAGAATGAAAGGAATAATTGACAGAAGGAAGATTCTTAAGAGCTCCAGTGTAATATCTGTGGGTTGTGTATACAGTTGTTAAAAAGGCTCAGGCTAATACTCTTAATAGGATCAGGTGTTATTGATTACAGTATTAGCTACAGTCTCTTAGATCTGAAATGCACTTTACTGTACTATGAAACTAGAAAACCTTGTGCGCTTACAAAAACATAATTCATACTTAAACAGATACAGTTCAGTTTTCAAGGGAATTTTCAATGCTGTACATACCATTAACCAAAGACCAACAGAACACAGTAATAACTAAGAAAGGGTGAGTATAGTATTAAATGAGTCCACCAAGTTGACTGTTAACTAGAAGAAAAAGAATTCTTCCAACAGCAGTTGTGGACCTGTTTCAAGTGATGCCACTATCTTTAGGGTTTTAAAAAAGAATATTTCACTTTGTCCAGCAGTACTTTGCCTCCAATGATCTCAAATCTTCATTATTAGATTTTGAAGCAACTATTGTCGCAGAGGTTTGAATTTTGCTTCAACTCTGGTTCTCTGTTTTTGAAGATGGAAATGACACTTTTGCTGATCTAACTGGACAGTGTATTCTTCCATGGCAGTGTGCCAAGTACAATATCAGTCTGGTTAAAAGGGTAACTCAACAGTGGACAGTATTAGTTTGATTAAAGGGTAACTCAACAGTGGGCAGTATTAGTTTGATTAAAGGGTAAGTCAACAGTGAACAGTATTAGTTTGATTAAAGGGTAACTCAACAGTGGGCAGTATTAGTTTGATTAAAGGGTAACTCAACAGTGAACAGTATTAGTTTGATTAAAGGGTAACTCAACAGTGAACAGTATTAGTTTGATTAAACTGTAACTCAACAGTGAACAGTATTAGTTTGATTAAAGGGTAACTCAACAGTGAACAGTATTAGTTTGATTAAATGGGTAACTCATCTTTTATTTACAGATGAGGAAGAAACAGATGACTCTGAGGAAGAGGATTTGGAAGGTGATGAGAAACCAAAGAAGAAAAAGAAGAAGTTGAAAGAAGAGGAGGCAAGTTTAGCTGCGGTTAAAACTTACTGTTCCAGGATATCCGTGTTATTTGTCCTGTGCAGTTCAGCCTCACATATTACTCTCAAGCACAGGATTTCCCTCATTCACATTTTTCTTGTCATTTTGCTGCAGTAGTCAATAAATATTAATAAACATTCTCAATACTAAACTGTAACTTTAAGAGTGATTCATTTGTCTTAATTAATATTTGATGAATTAATTATTGTCCTTATCTTTCTCAAAGGTCACAGCCATCCGAAAGAAAATTGAAGAAGAACGCAAACTGTTGGAAGAGCGAAAAGATCTCGAAGAAGAAGAACGAAACAAAGTCAAGACCGATTTGGACAGACATGAGAAAGAAGTTAAAAAGGCACTGTGAGTATCTGTCGTCACTTATGCCAGAATAAGTGTCTTAGCTGGTGTAGGTTAAACCTTTCCTGTCTTCTTAAGTCCCTCAACTTATGGCACTCTATTCACAAGTCATTCTAGCCTGGCATTGTTAGTCTATTGAGCCAGTGAGTGTAGGAAGCTGAATCCCTTTGTCATGTGTGGCTGGGATGTAATAATTAGATAAGATGAAAATTAGATCATCCTTCACTCTCATACAGTACTGAGTTCCAAAAGGAGACACTTGTTTTGATGGTACTGTACTGTACTGGGTGAAGGCTGATGAGGTTTACCTGTTCTTTATAGATAAGTACAGTACACTCTGGTCAACTTATGTTTGGTGTTGACTACAGTATATTACAAGGGTCATCATGTCACACCTGCACAGGGAGGGCTTGTTCAGTGCTGCTCTAGTGTTATGGACAGCTAAGTGTTTATAATTTTAGATACTAAGATTCGGTGTTGACTGCTGCCATGCAGTTTTAGGTGATATTTTTGTATTGTGTGGTACGAGTGTCCACTTTGGTTAGCTCTCAGCTGGCTATTGATATGTTAGTGTTATATGGGACTAATCTGCCTTTTGTTGTGACTACAATTTTGTAATGCATAAAACAGCTCATCTTTTATTGGGTAATTGTATGTGGGATATGTTTTGTGGCAAATAAGAGGCCATTAACCCAGATGTTGGCCCCCTCAAGAGGGATCATTTGGGGGATGGCCCACTTAACTACAGGTTGGCTCCTTGCATCTTGTTTGGATGCCAGAACATAATTTTTATACTATGAATGGTTAAACACAATACAGACTGTAATGTATGTAAGCAATATGATTTAGTGAGTTACACAAATTGCACAAGATATATAATGATACAACTTGCAGCTTAGGCACTTAGTGCTTGAGGAAGTGTGGACGCGTGTGGCACATCCTGCGCGTTGATTGCCCTATTGTTATTTGCTTTTTCCCATTAATAAGACACAGGAACAACCTACTCTTACACTAGATTTAGCTATTGATCAGTTTCATAGGATTTCTCTCATTGTGGGTTCAGGTTGAGCATAGCACTTGGCATTTACCAGTCAGATATCTTCTTTCCTTAACTTGGTATTCACTTTATTCACAAGTTGATTCACATGTGAGTTAGTCTCTCACTTCACAGTCACTCTCCTCTGACATTTTTACACAATCAAATAACTTACAACCTTGATCATGTCTTGGTATACCTCTCCCCCTCCTGTGGTCCAGTAGTGATAGTGTACCGGGTAAGTCATAGTCACTGCAAATCTTGTCTTTACATGTGTTATTTTAATGGTTGAAATTTACTATACAGGAAGGAACAAGAGGCTCTAAAACAGAGATTACAAGGTTTAGAGCGAAAGATTCTAGTAGGAGGGGAAAATCTGCTAGAGAAGGCAGAGGAACAAGAACGACTCCTGGAAGAATCTGCCAAAGAGCTGGAAGAGAGGCGCAGACACGAGGAACAACTCCGTCATGCCATTACCCAAAAAGAGGTAAGGATGGATAAAGGATTAATAATACTACTGACTAAAAGAGCATCCTTGTATGTAGCAACTTAGAAAGTTCAAGATTGTTGTCAGAATTGTGGGAGTGGAGGAACTGTGTATGTTTGTAAAATAGTGTGGCAGAGGTGTAAGGATAAGACTCAAAATATATGAGAAATAGAAAGAGGTAAAAGGATGTTGAGTATGATTATGAAGGAGAGGACCGAGGTTGAAGGATAACAGTGAATGCTTGTGTGAAAGAAGGACAAGTACAGGGCATATTGCTGAATTTTCAGAGGTGTTGAGTAACTTTGGATATTTGGAGGTCATTGTATAATATATGTCTTTTTGTTGAATGTAATATCATTATCATCATCATCATCATCATCATCATCATCATCATCATCATTGTTTTATGGCCATTTGCTATCCTTGCAAGTCTTGTGTATACAGTATATATTTAATTCAAATGGATAAAAAAGAAATGTTTCTTTACGCCACCCCCATAGTGGGAACTGCCTTTTAGGGGGGCTTGAGGTGCCGATGATCTGGGGTCCCCAGTTAGGGATCAGGGCTATGCATGTAGCAGGGGTCACCAGTGAGGGATCAGACATAATGGTTACCAGGTGCACCAAGACCCTGGAAAGGGGGATGGTGTACTCTCCTATGGCCCGGTCCAACACAAGGTAGGGAGTAAGACTCTCCCATGTGTTTGCCGTGTGTGGTGACCCGTACTGCTGGGAGATGGGAGTCCTGAGCATTAAGCAATGCCGCATGCTGCGCCCTGTGGCTAGCAGCACACCTCTCTGGCTCATTATTCCGGTTAGACGGACGGTTTGACTCGGGCCCGCTCAAGTAGTCCATTGGCTGGTCAACACTGGCTATAGGGTCAAGCGACCACCACTTGGCTGGCATCACATCAGCCCTGCGGCCGCTTTTGCAATTGTCCTGGAGCTGCCGTCAGGGCCAAGTGGTGGGGTGCGTATATTTCCTTGCTACCCCTGGGGACAGTGTGTCCTCTATGGTAGGGGGTTGGGGGTAAGTGAAGTATAGATATTTAATTTATGATTAATATAAAACATACTTCATCAAGGACTGTATCAGCCCCTGACAACTTCCACGCTTCTTTGATGATGTCATCTGGAACTCTTCTCATCACCACCCTTGAGCCCTTCCAGGTTCCGGGTGATGCTACTAGGACTCCTGTCCCCTCTGGTTTGACCTCGCTGGCTGGCGGGTCAAACCGTGATAAGTTTGAGGTGAGGCCTAAAGGCCAAAGAAAAGCTGTTATTAAGCAGAAGGAGCCTTCTGTCCATGTGGTCAAGACTCTTCCTGGCACATTTGAGCCACAGCTGCATGCCTTATATGGCTAACCCAAGATGGTGCTTTCACTGCCAGGCATTTGGGCACGTTAGTCTCTCATGTCGCTGTTTGCATGACAGCCTACCCAGTGTGTGTGTGTCATGTGGTACATCAAACCATGACGGCATGGACTGTCCTGGGTGTTGTTTTGGAGGCTCGCCACGGTGGATCGGGATGTTGCAGAATTCATTGAAGTTGAGAGTGCTTCTCCACCCTTCTCCAATATTCCAGTGAAATTTTTATCCATCAGGCCTCCAAGGTTGTCATCTGCTGGCCGGTTCCTTGGTAGGCTGACGAGTGCAGACAGGCTGTGATTGAGCATCGTCGGGTTTATGGTCAGTACCGTGGAGACAAGACTAACTTTTATTGTAGACAATACAAGAGAGCCAAAGCCAAGGCCCGTCGGGTCTTTAAGGATCCCTGTCCGAAGTCTTTTGCTTCTTTTGTGTCCTCGCTCAACACTAGGAGGCCATGCCACAGGTGTGGAAGTGGGTTTGTAAGATAGCAGGGAAGCCCTCCTCCTGTTCTCAAGGTCAATGGGAATACGGTCACTGATGGTGTGGCGGTTGCTGGGGTACTTGCTGGGGCCTTATCTGGCGTGTCAAGGTCTCCAGTGGTGCGTCACCAGGTGGAGGTTCATGAGTGCCGTCAACTGGACTTCTCGTCCTGTGGGGTCGAGTGTTACAATGTCCCTTAATCCCTAAGGGAACTGCGATCCGCTCTCTCCCTGTGTAGTGACTCCTCCCCCGGGACAGATAACATCCCATACGCCATGATCCGTCACCTCAGTAGCAAGTCCCTCTCGTTCCTGCTGGGTCTGTTTAATTAGATGTGGAGCGACAGTTTTATTCCCTCCTCTTGGAAGACTAGTCGTCATCCCCTTCCCTAAGATCATTAAGGACTCTTCTGTTCCTCTCAACTACTGACCCAGAGCCCTGACTGTTTGCATATATAAGCTATTCAAGAGGATGGTCAATACGCACCTGGTGTGGTATGTAGAGAGGGGTGGCCATATCTCGACTGCCCAGTGTGGTTTTCGTCAGTACTACCACCTGGCGATGGATGCCCTAGTCAGGATGGACACCACCATCTGTCGGGTTTTTGCATCTCAACATCATGTGGTAAGTGTCTTCAACATTGAGAAGGTGTATGACACTGCCTGGTGGTGCAGGATACTGCAGGTTTTACATTACTTTGGCCTTATGGATCAGATGCCTTTGTTGATATGAGCCTTTAGTGACCGTACCTTCAGGGTGAGGGAAGGTGCTGCCCTCTCGGCCACCCTCTCACAGGATGAGGGTGTTCCTCAGGGCAGTGTCCTCAGTGTCTCCCTGTTTGCTTTGGCCATCAATGACTGATAGTAGGCAGCTACCAAACAGGGAGGTACTACTGCCTGGGAAGATATTGGAAGTGAAATGTGTTGTCTAATGGTAGACCATGCTGCCATATGGCATCACAAAAATTGTGACCAAGTTCCAGGTTGCTGATCTGACTTTCTGCCACATTTACACACAATTGCAGGGTCTCAATTGTTTCTCATTCTTGATCTTTTTTTTTTTTTTTTATTATTATTATTATTATTATTATTATTATTATTATTATTATTATTATTATTATTATTATTATTATTATTATTATTATTATAATATTTTTGCCCCCAGGCCCTGTTGTTGGTAGGCCTGGGTCGGCTAATCTCCGTAAAAAAAAAGAAACTACGTAGATAACTTCTCCATCTTGTATGCCTCTTCTCGTCTAGATGTTGCCAGACGCTGCACCCTTCTGGCGCTGACCTGTGTTACCTGATGGGTAGACTCCCACAGCTTCTGATTTCTCCAACTAAGACTGTAGCCATGCATTATACCTGGCTCAGGAGTTTTCCGTGACCCAAATTTGTATATGTATGGCAGGAGACTCCTGGTAGTGGAGCAGACTCACTTTATGTGTATGGTCCTGGACCACTGTCATGTATGGCAGGAGACTCCTGGTAGTGGAGCAGACTCCTGGTCCTGGACCACTGTCATGTATGGCAGGAGACTCCTGGTAGTGGAGCAGACTCCTGGTCCTGGACCACTGTCATGTATGGCAGGAGACTCCTGGTAATGGAGCAGACTCCTGGTCCTGGACCACTGTCATGTATGGCAGGAGACTCCTGGTAGTGGAGCTGACTACTGGTCCTGGACCACTATCATGTATGGCAGGAGACTCCTGGTAGTGGACCAGACTCCTGGTCCTGGACCACTGTCTCACATCGTTACCACACCTATGTCTGCTGGATGTCTCTCTGCTGTTACATGCCTCTTGGGGTGTTGATCAGACCTCGCTGAATCGTCTATACAGCGCGTTGGTTCGGCCTAAGCTTGATTATGGCTGTGAGCTGTAGTCCTCCTAGAGGCCGCTTTGTTTACATATTTTAGATTCTGTCCACCACACTGGCATGTGCCTGGCTACCGGGGCTTTTAGATCTTCCCCAGTCTTCTGTGTGATGCGGGTGAGCCCCTCTGGACCTCCGACAACAACAACAACAACTGGCTGCCCTGCTCAGTGGTTCACTGGATACCTTCTTTATGCCGCTCGTTCCCGACGTAACCTCCACCCTGACTGTCGACAGATACCTTCTTTACCTCGCCCTTTTGGCTTCCATGCAGAGTATATCGTCGACAAGCTCGATCAATCCGGGATTTTGACTCTGCCTGTTGTATACTCGACTAATCCCCCCTGGCAGTTGCCAAGGATGAAATTTGGGCATTATTTTTCAGGAGTCCAGGGCGCTTATCTCTTTGGTCACATTTGATCACTCTTTGAAGCATGGTGCTGAGCACAGTAACTCTGTATCAGTCTACATGGATAGGTTAAACATGAATGCCGGGATAGCATATTCTGTGGTGTCAAGGATTTTATTTTCCCAAATGTGTTACCCATCACTGCTTCAATTTTTACAGCTGAGCTATGTGGGATTTTAGCTGCACTGTAGTGTATTTTTAGGTATAATGATCATTTTAATCATTTTATTATTTTTAATAACTCATGTATGTAGTGCCCTACAGGCACTTGAGTTTTTTTAACTCATTTCACCCCTTGTCATAAAAATTTTAAGATTGTTTTTTCCACTCAAGCGATGTGGGTGGGTAGTGCAGTTCTGCTGGGTACCTGCTCACATTGAGGTTGATGGCAATGAGGCAGCCAATTTGGAGGCGTGCAGTGGTGGCTGCTGGCCAGCCCTAGAGGATGCCTCTTCCTTACCACGATATCCACCCTGTCCATCGCTTGTGGCAGGACCAGTGGGCCGAAATGGGTATCAGTAAAATGCGGGCAATAACTGATGTGGTGCATCCATGGCGGTACCGTACGATGCCTCGCCAGTTACAGACTGCCTTGACTTATCCCAGTATCAGCTATACCCAGTTGACACACGGGTACCTTATGGACAGTGGTGCGGCTCCCTGCTGTGACAACTGTATGACACTTGCTGGTCGAGAGTCCCAGTCTGGGGGACCGGTGACGTAGGCACCACTCCTGGTGCCTTTGGGGAGATGGTTCTTACTCTGTCTGCAGTGCTGGGGGAGGAGTCATGCTGCACGGTGGGGGGGTGAGACTAAGACTGATGTTCATGACGGAGGCTGGTCTATGTCTTTTATGGGTGTATTTATTCTTTTTACTTTTTGGGTCGTTTTCTTCCGATTTTGTTTTATTTTCCATTTTGGTTTTTATTACCTTTTACCATTAATTATCTTTGGCACCATATGACCCTGGCTGTTGTGGTGCTAAGATAATATTCAATCATTCTTTACACCACTAATTGTTTTACAGGCTGAGAGGATTGATTTAGAGGAGCGCTACACAAGTCTTCAGGAAGAAGCAGCAGGCAAGACTCGCAAGTTAAAGAAAGTCTGGACTCTTCTAATGGCAGCCAAGTCAGAACTTGGAGACATGCAAGCAGAACATCAGAGAGAGATGGAATCCTTACTCGAGTCCGTGCGGCATCTGTCTCGTGAACACAAATTACACCAACTGATCATTGATTCATTTATTCCTTCTGAGTATCAGGTATGACTACTTTTGGCTTTTATATTAGTGATTAACCAAAGTGATTCATCTGTGGTGGTTCTTATACCTTGATCCTCCATTATCCTTTGCTCTGGCTTGTTATTCATGTTATTCCCTCTTAATATTATCACTCCTTTTGATGTATTTTTACTGATACAACGAGTATACAACAGGCTTTATTTTGTTGTTTCTTGAGAGTCAGCATTTTTATTCTATAGTGTGGTCATTGATCACTGTGTGAGGTGTCAATTCAGGATCAGGGCATCATTTCTGGGGTCCTGGGACTCAGGAATATGACCTAGGAGTGATGGTTATGAAGCCCCATCATCCTCCTCTGCATTGCTCTACCTGTGAGGCAGAAATTTTCACTGAGTCTTACCAGGGCTGTGCACAAGATCTGTCAGATGTGGGGCCAAGAGTTTGCAAAAAGGGCACCATCTCCTGAGGGAGGAGGCGAGCGGAGCGAGCCTTTATTTGAGGGCTATTTTGAGGCCATATGCAATTGCTGTGAATGTCCCTTGAATTTTGATATACTGTATTTTATAATTTTTTTATGAAAATATACTTAACATGCAATAAAAGCAACATGCAAACTGCTTCTTTACAAAATACTGGTTGTCAATATGTACTTCAACTTCATTATTAGACAATTTATTTTCAACATAAACTAAAGAAACAGGATCATTAAATGTTACTTTACAACTCAACCATGGCTAAAACAAATTAAATCTTTCAATATTAGACATAATGACAATGAGCAGAGAATATTTACATGTTCTTTTACTGTAATTATTATATACAGTATATATAAAGAACCATTTAAAAAAAATAAACCTATCCCTCTTGCTTCACTGAGGCAATCATTGTAAATTTATAGGTGACTAAGCTAAAACATCAACATGCTCATCATGTTCAGGGATAAGTAAAGAAAACTATGAACTGTGATAAAGGAACATCTTTCTCTTCCTTCACTGAGGGAGATGATGTAACCTGAGGTAATCAGCAATCACAGCCTGTGATTCACAGGAGCATCCTCCTTGTTACCATATCTTTGAATATGTTTATGACCTTGCTGGGACTTACATGAATGTCTATTTCTATTGCCAACAGAAGGTCAGAGAGCCTCTCCTCTCTACAGAGGCTTCTGATTGAAAAAAATATATAAATCAAGGAGGACACTTCATAACTGGCAGGACAAATGGCCAGGGGCTGAAGCCCCCCTTAAGCCCTACCTGTACATGTTCCTAACTCTTACAAGTCTTGGAATTTTTGGGAAAGTGTGTTGGCCCTTTAACTGGCTCTAGTTCCTGGATGATGTGTGGACCTTCACATAGAGGGTTTTTAGAGTAGGCTCACTTGAGAACAGTCTTCCTCATATATGTGGTGTTTTTAGTGTCAACTTCATGCAGTGAGTGTGGTCTTTGGCTCTACACCATTAATCCAACAGCAAATCTCAACCCCAAGGGTGAAGTGGCAAAGGTTTTCCTAGGCATCTCTTGGTCCTCCACTGTTGTGAATTATATTAAGCCTTAGTGTTGTCAACCAACCAGACTCCTAATGTCTGACCTGTAAAGATTAATTATCCGACATTAGAGACCAGGCAGGGATCTCTTCATTCTCTTGATCTGGTAAAGAATTCCTAGATAGATTTGAGGGCAGACTCAGTTAAAAAGTTTTCTTTGAGTGTTTATCTGAGGTGTTAGTGTGGAGCTCCAAGGCTTCTCTTGTCTTATGGTGAAGGCCATTGACATAATGGGGATTGCTTTAATTTAGTCTTCCAACAAGGGTGTCTATGAATTGATTCACCCACGGGGTAATGTGGACTATATAGTGGTTATTCTTCTGAGGACATTTAGACAGTCCTTTAGTGTATGTTGACTGGCTCCCAGCACTGTGTTGTTGTGTATCCTGCTTCCTGGCATAATGGTGTTCATGAAATTCTTAAAAACGTATGTACAGTTTGTATGTATGTATGGGCTTAAGAAGTGGATGTTTATATGGTACAAAGTGATGGATTTGGGTATTAAAACAGGAAGGCTTACAAAGAAAACATTTTTGGTGAGTGTGTTGTGTGTTGGTTGACAATTTGAGTACAGTAAGCCTTTCAAATTCACTGGGGTTAGGTTCTCAAAATGACTGTGAATTGCCTAATCCACGAATAACATTTGCTGACCGGGGGAGGGGGGGGGGATACATTTTTACTTGTGTACAAAGAAATGTATATTCCCTTTATGTGTTTGTCCTTAAGAACAATTACCTGTACCTGTGTGTGTGTAAACACTCACACACACACACAAAACACAAATGTATTAAAAATGTGACAGTCTGCTCCGTGCTTTATTAATAACAAAGCACAGGGTAGACTTGGGGGTAGACTCAACATTTTTAATACATTTGTTTCTGATTATTTGTGAGAGGATTTTCCTATTATTATTTATTTGTATTGTGTTTTTTTTGTGTGTGTGTCTACACACACACTTACACACATATATACAATGCAGGTAAAGGAAATTACTGTCTCTAGAACGAATGGCTCCCTGTCCCGGCCACAAAAATGACATCAACTTTAAAACTACCCTTAGCCATTCTCGGGTACATCCAGGGTGTCATCCGTGAATTTTAAGGGCATGCTGTACTGTATTGAAGTTAGGTGTGTGAGTTGGGAGGTGCAGATGTTAAGGAAAGACACATATAGCATGAAGGTTGGTGAAGGATGGTGTTACTTGATCACTACAGCACCAGGTATTGTTTTAAGGTTCGTTCATTGTAGTGATGATAATTCTCCCCTATTCTGAAACATTGATACGTGTATTTATAAATTTCTTATGATTTTATAGGAAATGATTGAGCGTTATGTTCACTGGAATGAAGACATCGGAGAGTGGCAGCTAAAGTGTGTCGCTTACACTGGCAATAATATGAGGAAGCAGTTAGACAATGGTGATGCTGAGAAAGAAAACCAGGTAAGACCAACCTTTTCCTCTATGATAATAACAAAGTAATTATTACTGGCTGTAAAGGACATTTCTTGTGGTACACATGTGAAGATTGCTTACAAGATCCTCTAACATTAAGTGTGATGCAGTATATAATTTTGGTGTTGTATATAGATAAATCTTTACTGGCAGGACACTGAGATTGATAATGTTTTAAAGTTGTATCCTAATAAACATTGTAATTTAACAGTTAGATTATAATAAACTTTGTAGTGTTGATGTATAAGCATGCAAAAGTTTAAATATATTGTAGGGTATGTATATAAAACTGGAGCTAGATGTCACTGGTTTGTATTGAATGGCTTTAACCAAGTTCTTCAGCAGACTGCCTGATGTAGGTTAAACTCTTAAGATTTGTGTAGCTTAAAACTCTTCACTGGTTTATCAAACTGTTTCTGTGTTTAATACGTGCTTCTTCCAATTGGTGGTAAGACCCATTTTATTCATATATTTACTGGTATTTCCTTTATGATTAGTAAGACAAAATTGTAAGGTAATAAATTTGTCAGGAAGGGAATGACAGATGTGTGGTTGGGGTTGATTGAGGATGATGATATATGCAAGAGAAGGTATGTATTAATGGTGAGAGTTAAGTGTAGTGTAGTGTAGTGTAGTGTAGTGTAGTGTAGTGTAGTGTTCTTGTAGAGAAAACTTTTTATTTCATGTTACCTTTGTCACAAAAAATGGTTTCATACTCATTTCATTCTTTATTTATATACTGTGTATATATATATATATATATATATATATATATATATATATATATATATATATATATATATATATATATATATATATATATATATATATATATATATATATATATATATATATATATATATTAAAGAAACTTACATTTATGTTGAATTTGGTTAACAGTTACCAGCAGGGATAGAAGAGGTGATGTATATAATATTTCAAGACTTGTGCATTTTAACTGCATTTTTTAAGATCCATCTTCAGTGACTCACTACAGGAAATGGAGACTTCTAGAATATCCAGAATGTTCATTTTATTTGTGACGAATGTCATCCTCCTCCTCCTTGTTGTTGTTCTCTACCACAACAGCTGCCAGTGACCTCATTCACTTTTAACCCCTGAGCTGCATTAACACAACTCATGTAAATTAAAATATCACATAACATTAAGTTAACTGAAACTGTTAAATTAATTTAAGTACTGGAGAGTGATTTACTTTTTCTGTATGACTACACCATCACCAACAAAGTCTTTATTGTTTATTGAATCAGTGATCCACCCACTGAATAACTCCCAATACTAGGAAGCCTCTACATTAGCACAAATCTTCTCACAAGCTCGAACAGTGTTTATAGTTAATTTATTTTATCAGCTAATGTCTTAGACTTGCGTACTTTCTTCACTGATGTCATAACCTTACGTACTTTCTTCACTGATGTCATAACCTTGCTGTATGTACTTTCTTCACTTCACCAACACAGTTTACAGTTAGGTGGCATTGTGTAGTTGAGGATACACAGCAAAGAGAGTTAAAAAATTCGAAAATTTATTAAAAGTAAAGTAATTTCCATTCTCCTCAGCATTGTAAACAAAATGAGGCACAAGCCAAGGTGGGCTAGGACCACTGCGTGAATAGTGAGCAGCTGAGCTAAGCCGCATATAATTCATTTAACCAGAGTTCAACAAATAATTAGTTACACTTATTTAACTGGCCCCTAAGTTATATAGTATATTGATCTACTGGACTGTTTATTGCTTTGGATGATCCAAAACAGTAATTTCCAGTGTAACAAACTTTCGCTACCTCACACCTTTAGATACAATGCATACTTAAAGTATATGGGGCAGGCTGGTGTTCAGAATGTGAAATTTTGTGTAATTGTAATTTTTTTTTTAATACATTTATAGTATACCTTAGGTAATATTACAGGAGTATTAATGTGCTCATTATTGTTAAAATATGTTCTGTACACTATTTAAGTGTACATTGAGACTGGGTGGATCTCACACTGTAACGTGACAAATATACAGTGGGGTATGCTATAACGAATCTAATTGATTCTAGAACCTTGTTCGTTATAGCATTCGTTCGTTATAGGATTAATCCGTTCCAGGCCCCCAAATACAACCACTTAACACTGAAAAATATTATATAAAATTGTAAAATTTAAAAAAAGTGCATAAATATGCATCTAAACCCCTGAAATAAAGAACATCATTAATATTTGTAATAAAAAACAATAAATTAGTAAAAAAAAAAAATTAAATAAATAAATAAAAAAATAAATAAAAAAAATTCGTTGTAGGAGTTTCGTTCGTTATAACATTCTCAATTTTATAGGTAAAACCGTTCGTTATAGGAATATTCGTAGTAGAATCCATTCGTTATAGCATACCCCACTGTATTGGTGTACTGTACTGTATTGTACTCTTCCTTCATCAGTCATGTGGTTGTCAGGCAAGGCAACACCTTAGATATGTTGTGATGCAGCAAAGGGGTTAAAACTTTCTTTTATGCTCTACAAGTGACCTGCAGGATTCATTCTGATAAATCACTTTGTCAGAGTCCACCATCTGCAAGAGGATCTGACATGTTTGTTGTTCAGAGACAATACTGTACCTGTAATGTTGTTGAAAGCAGCCTTCCCACCCAACTAAACCAGGATCAAAGATTCATTCTCATATGATCCAGAGCTTGACACAAGGTCAGGGGTTCATACCCACTGTAGGCTCATATGATCCAAACCTCCTTTAGGTTATGAAAAGGAATATAGTTTCTTCCTGATCCTCAGTTCTTGCTGAGCCACCAAACTAACAACATTTTCTCAGGGTCTTACCTAATGTACTGCTACTAACATTTCCATGATGAAGAACCAGGAGGACAAATGTTATACTTGCACATTATTGTTGTACAGTAAACAGTATTGTATTACTGTACATGTATGGTGTGTGCTCCAAGGTTATATATACTTGTAGTGCCTCAAATATGTAGGTGAGGGTATTCCAGGCATCTTTGGAAAAACATCTCTTTTGATTATGTACTATGCTGGAGTAACTTATTTTACATGATTCTAGTGGACTCCTGGTGGTACAGTAATATGCCTGGGCTATATACAGTACAGTACAGTACAATACAGTACAGTACAATACAATACAGTACAATACAGTACAGTATAGTACAATACAGTACAATACAGTGCAATACAATACAGTACAATACAGTACAGTACAGTGCAATACAGTATAGTACAGTGCAATACAGTATAGTACAGTACAGTACAATACAATACAATACAGTACAATACAGTACAATACAGTACAGTACAATACAGTACAATACAGTACAGTGCAATACATTACAGTACAATACAGTACAGTACAATACAGTACAGTACAATACAGTACAATACAGTACAATACAGTACAGTACAATACAGTACAATACAATACATTACAGTACAATACAGTACAGTACAATACAGTACAGTACAATACAGTACAATACAGTACAATACAGTACAGTACAATACAGTACAATACAGTACAGTACAATACAATACAGTACAATACAATACATTACAGTACAATACAGTACAGTACAATACAGTACAATACAGTACAATACAGTACAGTACAATACAGTACAGTACAGTACAGTACAATACAGTACAATACAGTACAGTGCAATACAATACAGTACAATACAATACATTACAGTACAATACAGTACAATACAGTACAATACAGTACAATACAATACAGTACAATACAATACATTACAGTACAATACAGTACAGTACAATACAGTACAATACAGTACAGTACAATACAATACAGTACAATACAATACATTACAGTACAATACAGTACAGTACAATACAGTACAATACAGTACAGTACAATACAGTACAATACAGTACAGTACAAAACAGTACAGTACAATACAGTACAATACAGTACAGTACAATACAGTACAAAACAGTACAGTACAATACAGTACAAAACAGTACAGTACAATACAGTACAATACAGTACTGTACAGTGCAATACAATACAGTACAATACAATACATTACAGTACAATACAGTACAGTACAATACAGTACAGTACAATACAATACAGTACAATACAATACATTACAGTACAATACAGTACAGTACAGTACAATACAGTACAGTACAATACAGTACAAAACAGTACAGTACAATACAGTACAATACAGTACAATACAGTACAGTACAATACAGTACAAAACAGTACAGTACAATACAGTACAATACAGTACAATACAATACAGTACAAAAACAGTACAGTACAATACAGTACAATACAGTACAATACAGTACAGTACAATACAGTACAAAACAGTACAGTACAATACAGTACAATACAGTAATACAATACAGTACAAAAAACAGTACAGTACATACAGTACAATACAATACAGTACAAAACAGTACAGTACAATACAGTACAATACAGTACAATACAGTACAATACAGTACAGTACAATACAGTACAATACAGTACAGTGCAGACAGTACAATACAGTACAGTGCAATACAATACAGTACAGTACAGTACAATACAGTACAATACAGTACAGTACAGTACAGTACAATACAGTACAGTACAGTACAATACAGTACAGTACAATACAATACATTACAGTACAATACAGTACAGTACAATACAGTACAATACATTACAGTACAATACAGTACAGTACAATACAGTACAATACAGTACAATACAGTACAGTCAATACAGTACAAAACAGTACAGTACAATACAGTACAATACAGTACAGTACAATACAGTACAAAACAGTACAGTACAATACAGTACAATACAGTACAATACAGTACAATACAGTACAGTACAGTACAATACAGTACAATACAATACAGTACAATACAGTACAGTGCAATACAATACAGTACAGTACAATACAGTACAATACAGTACAGTACAGTACAGTACAATAC